GAGGTACCTGCATGGTCTTTTCTGACAGCCAGAAGGTAGGACAGAAATCAGATTGGCTTTCTGAAGTCCTGGTGCCAAAGCTAACCGCAGCTCATCCCACGCCACCTTGGTTTAGCAGTAGCGACATAAAAATACATCTGTATTTTAGGCAAGGGGATTTACCCACAGACTGTGTACAGTATGGAAATCTCCCCACCCTCACATCCTGCCTAGCTCATGCTGCCCTCTGGGGTAGCAGACCCATTCACATACTATATATAGCTGTTTGCCTTCCTCTTAAAAATAATAGATGGGGCAAAAAAAGCAATCTCTTCCCATTATAAACAGCTACATATCAACCATGTATGACCTTGCAAGTCTACATAGACTAGTAATCATATGTGGTGTTTTTGTGCTGTCACTCTTCATCCCTGTTGAGAAGGGTTGGGAAAATATCCCTAGAATGCTAGTTTTTACAGTTTTTCTTTTGGTAAAATATCATTGTTATTAAATATTGTGAGAGGTGTGAGTCCAGCATTCATCAACTTACTCCCTATAACTCGATTGTGTATTTCATTGCCTTCCTGTTTTGTTCTCTTTAGCATGTACTTTGCTACTGGATTTTAAATTTTAAGGATCATGGCATATCCATATTTAATTATCTTCCTTGTTTAGAAGAACTACCTCAAACTGGTTAAAAAAAAAACAACCATAAAGCAGTCAAAATGTATTTCAATGTCATGATGTCATGAGGATTATTTAATTATCCAAGAGAAGGAAGTCAGATAATGGGCTTGGGTTAATAAACCAACACCAAAGTATTGCAATCTACTATTTTTATTTTATTGTGACACATTTCACATACCATAAAATTTACCCAGTTGAAAATATGTGGTTCAGTGGTACTTAGTACATTTATGAAATGTAACTATCACCACAAAATTGTAGAATATTCTCAATCCCCCAAAGGCTGTCTAGTATTGATTAAATTTTCAGATTTCAGAGGTTTGAAATAACTTAGATTTTTTTTTAAGAAAAGGGGCGAATTATTTATTTATTTTTATTGCCTTGTGGACGTTGAGTAAGTTTTATTCTAGCTGGCAGTGTTTCCAACATTTTTTCTCCAGGCCTGAAGTCTCTTCCCTTAATCCTCCTTCCTACCACTTTTACCATCCTTCCTACTCCCTCACTGATAATTCATTAAATCTTTGCATTCTGTATTTTAAAAACCATGTTGAAATGTTTTATTCATTTACTTTGAGAACAGAAATGGCGGATTTGTTGAGAACCCTCCAAGGAGGCAGGGGATAAGATGAGATATGCTGTCTACACATGAATAAGGATTTGCTGTTCTCTTTTATACTCTCTCTCTTGGGCTGCTGGTTTGCACCTACCATGTCTTCACGGTGTTTTCAAATGTCCTTTTAGACAACCTGAAATCTCTTAGACAGTGCTAAGTATACAGTGGACAATCAGCACACATATCTAGACTTACTGCTCTCCATCTTTTTGTGAATGGTACTGTCAAGAGTTTTAAACATGCCAAGGAGAGAATAAATTTTCAAAAGATCTTACAGAAAAATCAGAAGATGAATTTTAAATGATGTTTTATATTTTGGTCCTCAAATTTTGAAATTTTGTGCCAGGGAGAGTTAAATTTTAATCAAGCTATTTATTTACTTTTCTCTATCAAGACTTGAATCAATGACTATTTGAAGAACATAATTTTACATTTATATATATATATATATATATATTTAAAGTTATCAATTTAAAATATTTGTTTTGTTGTGTAAATCATAAGTAAAATGGAAAAAAGTTAGAAAGTATAAAGTAGAATGTGCTCAAAAGCTAAGTCTTGTCCTGATAACTTCTGTCACACAAGCAATAGCTCCTGTTACATTTTTTGGCATTTTACACATACACAAACGCACATACATACTTAAAAATTTTTATTAAAAATATATGCCACTTTGCACATGTATTTGTGCTATTTTGCAACTCCCCCCTTTTTTTAACTAACATTTAATGAAAAATATTTATTGTCAGTATACATAATAGTTGCATCAATCAAAACCTGTCTAGTCACTGACCACTTTTCAACATGGAGGACAGATTATATCCCATTTAGAGCAAAGTCAGAATCCTCATGCTGTCCTGAAAGACTCACATCATTTTCGTCCTCAGAATCACGACCACAGTTGTCTCTGTTTCACTTTTGACCTTTCTTTCTCATTCCTCTTGTCTCCGTAGCTCCCTCCTCATTCTTCAAACACATCAGGCATGATCCTACCTCAGGGTCCTGACTACTACTAGTTCCCTTGGCTGACAGGCAGCTTCCCCCAAACATGGGCAAGCCTCCCTCCCCATCTCCTTTGCTCAAATGTCTTTCTCATTCAGCTTTCCTTGACTCCCCCTCCAGCTCTCTATCTCCTCGCCACACTGCCATTCCACCTGTCCACTTTGTCTTTCTTCATAGAGGTTATTGACATTGGACTTAACAATATATTTTATTTACTAACTTTAAGCACCACCACAGTGAAAATATGTCTATTTTGTCCACTGCTCCAGACCTAGCACCTAGGACAGAGCCCTGAACAAAGTCAGCATCAAACATCCTTAACTGAATTGATGAATTAGTGCTGTGTGGTGCTTGTATATTTGTATAGTGTTTGCTTGACCCAGTTATGTGTAATTTAATTATTGCTGCATTGGCGGAGGGGGGGCTTCCATTCTTTTGGGATCTCAGTAAGTTTACTTAATGTCTCTGAGTTTTGATTTTCTCCCCTACAATACAAGGATAGTAAATAGCTGTATACACATTTATAGGGTTATTGTGTGAATGAAAGTTTTCAAAGAATGCAAATTGGTTTGTGTCAATTTGTAGTAACTACTCAATTATATGATTATGATTTCTATTATTATCATTCACTAGAAATGAACTTATGAGGCACCCCCCTGGTGGTTCAAGGGGTTTTAAAGTGCGCACTATGAAGCTATTCCACAGCCACTGCATCTCGAGTTCCATCCCCTGCCAGGAAGGTGACCCATATAGCACAGCAGACCTCTCCTGTCTCTTGCCTCAGCAATGTATTTTAGTCACTCTGCCTATTCTGTTCCCCACACTGTCTCTGGTGAATCCTCTCACCATCCGCACCTCTGGCCTGTACGCCAGTTCTTGTATGCATAAAAAAAATCAATATTAAATAAAAAAAAAGAAATGAACTCATGAGAGGGCTCTACAGTTGAGTTAAATAAGAAAGACCTCACTTCTTATTTTTAAATCTAATCATGTTAGCTTTCAGTAATTATCTCTTTAGGATAAAATATCAGCCACTTTGTTCTTTTTTGGGAGAAGTCATCGAACATCTTTAAAAAATACCTTTGTATTTACATTTTCCAACTGGTCCTAAACATAGTACTTGCTCAATAAAATCTGTTGCATAAACAGATGGAAGAGTAAATCTCAATGTGCACAAGTAAGTTCCTATTTCCTAAAGTTACCATGTGCCAGGTACTTCTGTAGGCACTAGGGATACTTTAAAAAATTGTGGTTGAAGTTGATTTCAAGAGTTGCACATAATAATAACTGTTGAGTTTGGGGGTTGTGTTTTTATCTCAGATGTAGTTTTTTACCTGAGGGAGGGGGAATTTGGATTCATCATCTTGTGCAAAGTAAAAATAAAACCAAAGAAAAGGCCTCCAGAAAGATGTCTTTGCCATAATTTCTCTGAAGAACATTTCAAAGAAACAGAACATATATGGTTTATCAGTCAGATATCAAGAGTAAAGCAGCAAGCAAACCAGTAGGAAACCCTATGTTGATTCAAGTCTCTATGAATTCCTGTGGCTCCCAGTGAGTCCCAAACAACTTGCTAACCATGAACAACCCCATATTTGGTGAAGAATGAGAGTATAATGAGAGGAAAAGCCTTGACCTGACCTGACTCATAAGGCCTGGGAGAGAATCCAGCTCTGCATTCAGACCCTGAGCAAGATAATCCTAAGCTTCTGTTCCTCACCATAAAATTATGTGTTTGAAAATCAGCCTCCTTTGGCATCAAAAGGCAGAAGGATGATTTAGTAACCATCTCCAAATATATTCAGTATACCTAGAAGAAGATAACTGAGCAATTTTTCTCCATGTTCATTGCTGCCTATGCCAGAGGCAGGTGACTTGTATTAAAGTAAAACTCATTTACAGGAAAACGTTGCAGCTAAAATGATACACTAGACCTCATTTTATAAAATCCATATTTCTTAGTTGTTTTGTCTTCCTTAAAAAATAATAAAATCTATCAGTCCTAGCAAGTAGATAATGAAAATGAGCCTTCTTCCCATGAGAAAAATCCTTTGTCCTCCGGAAGCCACTGTAAAAATGGCACTCTGGTTAGAAGAGGGGGCCCATTCTTTTAACAAGAGCTGTGCTGTGTGTAGGATGGAGAACAAGAATCCTCACTGGGTCCCTGCCCCTAGGGATCTGCCCAAATCTCCTGGTGCCACTGTATTTATCCTACATTGTCTTTTGTGACCTGTCACCATCACACACCCCTTTATCTCAGACACACACACATACACACTTACTTCCACAGTTTTATCCCCAGGAGCAACTTTGGCAGAAGCAAAAATAAATCTGCAGAAAGAGGGTGATCACAGAGAGATCTGCAATGACATCATCAACAAAACTGGAAATGACCAGATATTTACAGAGCATAATGCTTTCATAAATGATGCATCCCAACAGCCTACCAATACCTACATCCCAGCACAGTCCCCTGGGGAGGCACTGGCTTGTTCAGGGAGAGGCTGCTGACCTGGCCCTACAGGGGTGGCCACTTGGAGGCTGGAACAAAGGGGTGTATGATGGTGACAGGTCACAAAGGATGATGCAAGATAAGTGCAGTGGTGCCAGGAGATTTGGCAGAGTCCTGCAGGGAGATGGGCAGTTGCCTTCACTCCCTCTCTCTCTCTCTCGGGAACTTGGTTTGTGGCTGGCAGAGCTGTCTTAAATGAAGAGAACCATGAGTGGTGAGTGCTTGTTACCTTACTACACAGCCCACACCTACCGTTCCATGGGTGTGTTCAATACCTCCATGGGAGAACTGCAACGACAGCTGTACAAGGGAGGAGAGTATGATATTTTTAAATACGCACCCATGTTTGAGAGCGACTTTATCCAGATCAGCAAAAAAGGAGAGGTGATTGACGTGCACAACCGCGTGCGCATGGTGACCGTGGGCATTGCCTCCACCAGCCCCATCCTCCCACTCCCTGATGTCATGCTGCTGGCCCGTCCAACTAAAGGCTGTGAAGAGCATCACACCAGACTTGCCCGGTCCTCCAGGGGTAAAGGACGCAGGTTCACCAAGACCCTCGAGCTCACCAGGCTACTCCCCTTGAAGTTTGTCAAGATCTCCATCCACGATCGTGAGAAACAACAGCTGCGCCTGAAGCTGGCCACTGGTCGCACGTTTTACCTGCAACTGTGTCCCTCTTCTGATGCACGAGAAGACCTCTTCTGCTATTGGGAAAAACTTGTCTATCTCCTGAGACCACCAGTGGAGAGCTGCAGCAGTAGTCCAACACTCCAGACTGGGGATATGACCACAGAGGATGACAAAAGTTTGGCGGTAAGCATTCACAGAGATGCAAGAGAAGGGGGCAGAGGCCTTTAGGAGAGTAGCTCAGAGCAGGTCCTACCACCTCAGAGGTGTTCTCTGAGGGTCCCCAGGGAAACGCATTCCATTTGAGAAATCTCGGGGCCAGAAGAGGCAACACTCTGGGACAT